GGGAAATAGAGAAAATTTAAGGATAAAATAAAGGCATTTAATGAAGTTTTAAAAAGGAATTGGTGTCAGTTGTATACCAGGCATTTCTCTACTGCATGCACATTATAGAAACACCTAGTTTACAATACGACTCTAATGTACTATTTGATTTTTATCAACATTAAAATGTAAGTAATTATTGAAACTTTCCCTAAAGTATTCAAAATGAGAGAAAAATACTGACATCATTATTTTATTTAATGGGCGCTAAAAGTCCCAGTCAGTTCAATTAGGCAAGAAAAATTAATATAAATATTGAAAATGAAATAGTAAAGCTATCATTTCTCTCCTATGATTTCAATTATACACTTAAACATCATGAAAAACAATTAAACATGAATGAATCTAATCAAAGCTCAGTGTCATTTATACATCAATCTGTAACAAACAGAGCGTTACACTATGGTCACAAATTGAGGGAACTGATATGGTAAAAGTGACCCTTCTCACACATTAGTATGTGCAATTAATATAATCACAAACTACCATGTTCTATTAAGGAGAAATTGACCAAATAATTATAATTTGTACCAAAACTTGTAGGTCCAGCATAGAAAAATTAACTATAAAAGTAATTACACACCAGACTGATATAATCTACCCAATATAAAACTTAATATAATGTTATTATAACTAAGATTTGATATTATTTTTCTGGAGCAATAAACAAGTAATGGAAAAGTAGGTATTAAAAACTATAAATGTTCATACAAATGAGCACTCAATTCACAACTAAATTAGTACTGCAGAGCAATTGAGACAAGATTTATAATTTAACACTGTTGGGTCATTTGGGTGTCAGCTTCAAAATTAGTGAAAATTGATCCCTATTTTATATCACAGGAAGTTAAATTCTGGTAAATGCATATGTGAATTTTAAAATGTAAAGATCCTAGAGAAATGTTAGCAAATTCTTTATATTGTGGTCCTGGTGAAATATTCCTCAGCTAAGGTCTAGTTATAATAAAAATATTGATAAATTAGGCTTCATTAAATGAAGAACTTTAGATTCTCGAAAGACTCTGTTTAGAGACAGAAACATCAAGCCATGGAATGAGAGGATATGTCTCTGCCTATAACCATGGTAAGGTTTGTACTGGGCACATGTGAATCACTTCTAAAACAACAAAGCATTGAAAGTCAATGAAGTCAAGAGACGAGAAATCAAGAACTATTAAGCGGGTACCCCAAGAAGAGTGTATATAGTGTATGTACTTTTGCAAAGTATTCAGATTTGTGACTAACAACAGAAAGAATATAAAGAGATTTCCAGGGCTGCCTTTCGTAGAAATATGAGCGAGCTGCCCAGGCACCCGGGATTGAAGACCAAGAGCTCAGCAGACGCAAAGTCTTCCGCAAGCTGTTCACTCCCTCTGTCATGTACAATTGAGGGGACAAGGACCGAGATGAGGTGTCAGGCAAGATGAAGAGTTTCTCAGAGCACTGAAGAAGAATTGAAGGCATGAAGGAGAATAAGTCACAGACTGACTGGACAGAGGCCTGGAATGGTAAGGAGAAGGGGCCTGGGGAGAAGCAAAGGCAGCACCCATCCCAGTGTCCTCCGTGGGTGTTTGTCTATCAGGGTTAAAGATCGAGAAACTAATTACTAAAGCAAAAAGAGATTAAAAGGGAGAGCAGAGATTGTTAAATCTTTACACCGCTGGGCAAAGACCACAATTCAGGAACCGCCTACAGGGAAGAACCACAGAAAAGACACTAGAAACTCACCAAGGACTCCCGAGTGCTAGAGCCCAGGAGGCCGGGGAAGTGTGAAGCAGCGAAGCCCTGGGGAAGACAGCATGCTCGCCATAAGTAGACGCCTCGCGGTACTGCGTGGGAATGGTGGAGGAAACGCATAGAGCTGGAGAGAAACAAGACAATCTTTATAAAACAACTAGGCAGGAAGATTTACACTACTACCAGAGCGCAATGCCTACCGTAAAGGTGATGATAAGGACTGTAAACCGGGTCAAAGAATAGACAGAAGCAACAGAGCATAGAGAAGCAGAACCAGGAGACATCATTTGATTTATGATAAGGTAAAACTGTATAATGATGGTCTTCTCAAGAATACTCATCCTGGACCAACTTCACCAACTTAGAGGAAAGCGATTTTGCCTGATTATGCAAAAATCTACTTGGGGTATATTTCATCATTAAAACCTAGCTATAAAGGTAAAATAACCGAGACTTGAAAAGAAAACAAACAACATCTTTATGACATTGCTATACATAAGATTTATATAGGGCAATATAAAACAGCAACCGCACCAAAAAATGGATACCTTGAGTGAAATTGAAATTATGAATATGTAACTGTTTATGAAAAACAGCCAAGATAGTGAAAAGCCTTGATTGGAGACATTATTTGCAATACACAGTCTTTGAAATTGTAATGGCTATTTATACAATATTACAAGCATACTGAATAATGAAAGAAAAGAGAGATGTTAACTCCCACACGAGTATGTTTCTCTTTGCAGGAGATTTCTATTTAATTCATGTTGATTTTTCTAGAACCTATGAATGCACATTTATTTCCTCTTGGAAGATATCCTCATGTTTATGTGTAGCCAATCCTTAAATAATTCACCAGTTTTGTTTAACTATCTGTTGTATACTTTTAAGTAGACTTCTAGTTTTTATTTTATTTTGTTAGCATATCCAGTCCAATTTTCATTTTCTGAATTTATTAAGGTTTTCTTTTCAGAAATATTAAGAAGGCTGTCATGCATTTCTTATACTTACCTTAAAAGAAAGTGTTATTTTGTTTTGTTAACCAAAATTTATTATGTCCATCATACAAATTAATGCTATTATTTCTTGATAATTATTCAGCTTTTGCTCTAAGCATTGTGTATAATTTTAATTCTGTTTATATCTGGGAAAATGTGTTTATTACATTGGTTGAGGCCCAATTATCCTGAATTCAATCTTTTCTGGTGATAATGTTTTCTGCTTATCAAAAATAAACTTCATATAATTTAATGCTAGCTTTCTTTGACTTTGTCTCCCTCCGTTCTTTCTCCAAAACTGTACCTAAATTAAGGTGTGCAGTGTACATCCCCTGGGTTATCGGCTCAGGATTCCACCCTGGATGGAGAATTCTTTTCCTCTGTTGCACATGCATGCTTGTGGAGAGACAGCTCACAGATCTGCAGTGTTTCTGCTCGTCTCACGGCAGTGTTTGTTCGGGGAGTTCGGTAAACATGTTTGAATAGTGCACATGCCTGGGAAGGAGAACTAAGCCTTTCCTCCAGTGTGCAGGGCAGATTCATTAGCCCTTCAGGAGGACTGAAATATCTTCCTAAGCAGCGAAGCTGGACGGACGAGCCAGCATCCTCATCTGTCATTTGTGCAGCAGCCTTTGGGGCTGAGTGGATGAAGGGGAACAGTTCCTACGGGAGCCCCAAGACCTGCCATCCACACTGACCTCAGCCATCAAGTTGCAAGAATGCGCCTAGGACACAGGTGCAAGCCCTACACTCTGAAAACTAAAATATTCTTAAGAGAAAATAAATACCTAATAAATATAAAGACATCCCATGTCCATGGATCATCAGCCTTAATATTGTTCAGAAAGCATTTTTTTTCTTGGTACCGGGAATCAAATTCAGGACCTTGTGCTTGCCAGGCAGGCGCTTCTACCACTGAGCTAAATCCCTGGCCCTGTTCACAAAGTAATACTCCCCAAACTGAATGACAGACTGAACAGAATTCCAGTTTTCTTTGTGAAAACTGGCAATCTGATTCCAAATGCATGTGAAACTCCAAAGAGAATAGGTAAAATAATCTTGACAAAAAATAAATTAGCAAAAATCAATGAATGAGCTAAAACCTCAAAACATTTTTTAAAATGTAAAAAAAAAAATCGATCTCTGGTGATACTTTCTTAAATATGATGTAAAATTTCTAAGCAATGATACAGAAAAATTAATAGATAAGTTTGACTACATCAAAATTTATAACTTGAAAAGTAAAAACAGTTTTTCAAGGAAAGTGAAAATCCAAGCTACAGAATGAAAGGGTTTGCAAATCATCTATCTGATAAGGAACTTGTGCCTACAATAAATAAAGAATTCTTATGAAACAATAATAAGAAGAAAAAGAATCCAATCTAAAAGTTGACAAAACTGATTTATTCTTCCAGTAAAGAACAACAAAACACTACTTTGTCCATGAAAGGATGGCAGAAATCTCTGTTGTTTGGGAAGATGCAAGAGACTGTGTCATTAGACCTGGACAGCTAAGATCAAGAAGTCAAGGGTGTGTATAAATTGAGACCCCTATACACAGTGTGTGAAAATATAAATGTTGTAGCCATTTCCACAAACAGCCTGACAATCACTCAACAATTAAACACAGACTTACTACAAAGCTCAGTAATCTCACTCTTAACTAGATGGTCAAAAAAAAAAAAAAAATGAAAACCACCGTCCTCACAAAATGTTTGCACTGAAATGTTAATAAAAGCATTTATGGTAACAGCTGGAAGGTAGGAATAAACCTAGTTTCTGTCAAGACAGAAACAAAGTGGATAAAAATTCCGTTTTATATATATACAATAAGATGTTACTTGGACATAGAGTAAATGTAGTATTGATAGAATCCACAGTATTACACCAATTGAAAGAAACTCACTATGAAACCTTATATATCCTGTAATTCACTCACATGAAAAATATAGCAGGCAAACCTGCAGGGACAAAAAGCAAGTTCACAGTTCTTGAGGACTGGGAAGAGAGGCATAAACAGGACAGATGAGCTTAGATAGCTCAAGCATTCTGAGTTTTATTTTGAACCAATAAAAATCTTCTAAACTTGACAGAGGTTTTTGTCTTCAGGTCTGAAATTACACTGTGTTTTAATTGTGCATTTTGCATGGGTGAATTATACAGCTTGTGAATTCTATCTGAATGAAGCTATTTTTTGTGCTTCTCCTAACTAAGCCCTTTGTCTCCCACCAGAGAACCTGATGACCTTGCCGTGTCCATGAGTCCATGGCACCCTGACGTCTCCAAGCTTGGTCAGTCTGAGTCCTCACCCTTCCTCATTTTGCAAAGAATCTGCAAACATCTGTTTAACCCTCGCTCTTTTCATCCATTGGATGGAGGGGTGTAACCCTGGTCTGAGTCGGGACAGTGAACTTCCCATGGACTTTTGCACCTGGCCTGAGCAAAATCTCTAAAATGTCCATTTAGGGACTCTAGGCCTCTGTCTCCCTGAAGATGGAATAAACAAATTTATAATGGGAAAGAAAACTAAATTTTCATAACTTTCAGATTCTGCCTCATTCTTGATATTCAGCTTAGACCCTGCTTTTCCTGTGGTTTAGTGGTCCTTCTGAAATGCCCCATGTCCTTCTAATAATTATTTATAAATTAGTATAACTACTGAAAAATCCATACTAATTTAATTTTTAAAAATTATTTAAAACAGTGGCATACACGCAGAGAAATGTGTCAAAAAGAAGTCAGGGTGGCTGAGACAGGAAGATCGCAAGTTTGAGCCCAGCCTGGCTAATTCAGCAACCCTGTAGGACCCTATCTCAAAATAAGAAAATGGGATGTATCGGTGCAAATCTCCTCAGTTACAACTCCAGCACCTACCTCTACCCTAAAACATAAATGCATGAAAATGTTTATGAAAACAATTCAAGTAGACCCTGCTATCACCAAATACCCTACCAGCAACTGCCAATTGCAGTTGTATGTATTATTTCTTCTAAATTCTTTCACTGGGGGCTGGGGATTTTGCTCAGTGGCACAGCGCCTGCCTAGCAAGCATGAGGTTGTGAGTTCAATTCCTGATACTAGAAAAAAAAAAAAGAGAGCTAAATTATTTCACTCACTCCATCAAAATAATATACTTTGAACACTATTATTTGATTTTTCTGTTTTAAACATTGCTCATTTATTTTCTAAGTTGAAAGAAAAAAATGAAGCTCCACTTCATTGCCTAATTCACTCTTATTTACCAGTGAAATTTAATCAATAGTTTTCTGTTAAATCAATAAACAGAATGTAAAGTGGGATCATTATTTAAATGTCATTACTGAGAGTCAAAACCTTCACCACACTCACTTTTTAGGGATGGGTACTTCATTTTGCTTAATTTCTTTTTTGTTTTATCCTATTTAATTCTCTCACTTTTATTTGTTTTGGGAGTTATTAAGCCTCTATATAATTTGGAGATATAATACACCAAATGCAGATACACTCTCATCTCTATCAGCTATTTTAACATTTTGCTAAATTTTTCCTCTCTCTTTTATTTATACACATATATTCTGTCTCTCTCTCTCTCTCTGTCTCTCTCTCTCTGTCTCTCTCTGTCTCTCTCTCTTTGTCTCTCTCTCTGTCTCTCTCTCTCTCTCTCTCTCTCTCTCTCACACACACACACACACACACACACATCATAGGCCATTTCTACACTATGGCATATAAGTGGTACCTCAGTTCACAAACAGTTCTTTCCACATTTCTAGTCACAAACCAAATTAGTTGGGCACCAAATCCGATTCAATGGTTAGGTTCAATGTTGACCTTATGGGGAAATTTGATTCAGCTTTCAACCAGCATTGTGGAAAGAGTGTACTGTACAGTCCTGTAATGCTGCTTCCCTCCTACAGCGTGGAACTGCTGAGAACAATGAAGTTTTCACGTGTAACTACGGAGCAGTTACTTTCACCTCACTACTGGTACCGTAGCTTCATACGACACCTGAGCCGCACTTCAGTGTACTCAGAAGTGTAGTAATGAATTGTATTGTTGTTTCTTTTTTCCAAACTCAAAGTGCATGACGCACTGCATTAGCTCTCGATTTTACTTGGCCTCTTCCCCGTAGAAGGATCATCGAGTTACTTTCTCTTTTTTTCTTAGCTTTCATCACACTGACTAGAGGAAGCCTACAAACCAGTCATCATGCACTTGGCTGAGCTCCATCAGATGAGGAAAGTGAGTTACTCTCCACTCTCCCGCCCTGTGTGCTGTCCAGCCCAGGAGTCCCTTCTCCCAGCCCTGGACCAGCTTCCCTCTGATCAGACCCCACATGCCTGGGATGTTCTCCTCGGCAACTCTACAAGACTCCCTGACTCCTCCAGGCTCGGCTCTGTTCTGGATTGCTTTTCAGTGTCCTGGAACATATTCCGTGGTTCACACATGCTGGAACACCTATTTTGCCTTGGCAAGAAATGATATATGGGAATAAATAACAACTGGCAGGAGTTTTGGCTCACTTGAGCTTTGCATCCTGGCCAACAGCATGTTACTGGGAAGCGGGACGCCGGGGGATTTCTGCTGGGAAATCTACCTCACACTCGCCTTCCCATTTTCCTCCTCATATCCCCCAACTTGTTCCCAATTCTCATTGTGCATAATTAGCAAATGTTATCATAATTTAATGGGGTTATAAGAGGAAAAGGGAATTTACATATTTAATCTTATCATTTTTAACAGAAATCTAGCATATAACTTAACTATAATTTTCTGTGTCATATTTTTGTCATGTCCAGTCATGAGCTACGTAATGTCATTTTGATCAATGGCAGACTGCGAATGTGATGGTGACCTCATAAGATTATGTGACCTCTGATATCATTAATGTCTTCATTCAACAAAAATTACTGTGGTCACACAACAACAGAATCACCTAAATATGCATTTCTCAAGACAAATCTCTCACTAGGCAGTGTATCAGTGTATTTCCTTTTAGAAAGAGAACACAGTTCAATTTTGTTGGGTTTTTTTATTAATACATTGTGGATAACTAATCATACCTGTGATGACTGAAGCATTTATTATTATACCCATTACCCTGCGCCTACCTGATGTTGGGCTACTGCAGTGACTCTTCTGTATAGATTCTATTGTTTATTGTAAATGTTTAAAACATTTTATAATCCTGACTGTGAAATTTGTGAATGATGCAGTCATTACCATGAACCAATTGACTTAATTTCTTCTAGCTGCTGAGACACCACACAGTGTATGGTTTAAACAACATCGCTATATTTTCTCATAGATCTGCAGGCCAGAAAACCAAGATCAAGGTGACAGCAACCCAGTTCCTCATGACTCTTGCTTCCTGACTTGTGGACAACAACTCCTCACTATCCCCAGCCCGGCCTTTCTTCTTTTCATGTGTGGAGAGAGAACCAGAGATTGTCCTACACCGACACCAGTCCAATCAAATTAAGGTTCCACCCTCATGAATTCACTTAAAATTACTCACCTCTTAAAGACAGTATCTCCAAATATAGTCATACAGAGGGCAAGAACTTTCAACACTCGAATATAAATTTCAACTCAGAGGGGGACATGATTCAGTCCATCATAGCAACTACATAAGTACAAAATGACATGTAGCTCTATTCTTTCTATCATCATCCTAAACTTTGTCAAGAAATTATCTTTATTTCAACATTTTATATTCTCAGTACAGTCTAAGTACAGTCATTGATGTTTTATCAAAATTCATTCTGAGAGATGCAAATAAAAGATAATGTCACTGTTGTCATTTGGGGTTTTGCAAGGGGAGCAATACAGGCCA